TAAGCCGCATTTATTAAAAAAAAAAAAAAAAAAGATACGGGCAGAGATTGACGCCGGGTGTGCGGCGATCCCTTCTGCCGCCTGTTCTCTCTCCAGAGCAGCGTGACGTCATGTGACCCCGCCTATGACGTCACTTCTGCTAGTTATTTTCTCCGCTCGCGCGCTTCCGTCGGCGCGCCGCAACGGGCCGGTCTACGTCGAACATTTGATTGGCTCTTACGACGCTCCCTCTAACAAGATCAATATAAAACGTTAGGCGCATAATTTTTAAGACGTCTACGTTACAAATTTTGCTGTTGGTTCGAATTCAAAGACCCATTCACCTTCCTTTTTAAGGCTAACTCCGGAACATTTTCTAAATTTTAGGGTTACCACTAATTGTAGCGAAAAAAGTGTCTCTGAATGGACCCTTTTCGAAAGACAGCCCTCTGTTGGCAGCTGTGAAATCCCTGCACAATGGCGGACCGAAACTACAACTTCACGACAAGCTTAATGCGTTTAGTTGGATTAAAAGGCAAACCCACAGTCAGAAAAAGGTGATGAGCGCAGCGACGTTGCACTTTAGACGTTTTTTGATTGGCTCGTTGGCTCTTAGCGTTGGCCGTGGACCGACGTTCGCTATTTGATGGTATGACTTGCACGTTCCACGATGCCAGTTGTTCCGCCATTGTGAAGTGGTTCCGACCTTCTAGTAATCGGCACGCGACTTTCGAAAGGAGTCTATTACGAGGTGTAATTTCTTTTCGATTCCTCGTGCAGTGTTGACGATATCTCAAAGATTTGTTTTGGGGGGGTCGAGGGCGGAACCGAAACTACCGGCTCGAGCATGATGCCAACCCTGTGACCAGCTAGCTGTATGGCCATCGTATGGCGCAAAGTTCGTAATGCGGTACAGCAAAACGTGCTAATGGCCGAGTCGCGAGATAAGTTCCGATCAATCACGTAACAAGCTACTGCTGTTCCACTGCTTTGCTTCGTACATATCAAACCTATGCAGCAAATATTAATACGCATTCCTAAAGTGGCCGGTCGAAAAACAAGTTTCCCACGATGAACGCAGGCTCAGCGTAGGCTACACCGTGGCGTAGGCTCAGAACGAGCCACCACTTATTCTCTTGAGAAGAACCACAATTTTGGTGGTGTGCAATGCACGTTGCAGAGGCGTCATGGAAGCTAATCGTAAGCTCGCGATTTTCAGGGACGAACTAAACTATGACACCACGGCGCGCTTGAGTGAGCAGGGAGTCATTAATCTTCGTGCGCAATGGCTGAGGAGCATGCACTTAAAGAAGCACGGCCGCTAAGACATAACATAACAAGCAGAAATCGTCCGCTGAAACGGCTGAAAACGCGGCAGAAAAACGCGGCAAAAGAAGTGGCAGTACGAACAAGCAACCTTCTTGAGTACGACCATGACCTCACGGCACAAGGTTGCTCGACCAACAGCCAACCCGCTGAATGCCTGCCGAGAAGCAGGTGGTAGCATTTTTAATGCCGGTTTTAGAGTGAACCGTGGTTTCCAGTTAGTCTAAAAGTTCGGCAGCGCTCGAATTTAGTCTCCGTAAATCGATATCGGCCATTTATTTTGGTTTCGTCATTTGACCGGAGTTTCCCTTTCGATTGATTGAGGAATATCGCCAAACTCCTGTGGCCGTACCACATCTACGGTCTTACGTTATATTCGCTATTGCCCGAGTGTGCATTGTGCTTTAGTTTGTACTGCGGGACATTGTTAGGGCCAAGAAGACACCAGTGCTTTCTCGTTTCTTAGTTCCCGAGGATAAACTATCCAAGATTTCTGCTAAAGTTAGTGCCCCAAAAGGATCACTTTCCACCACACCATACAGTCAATGACATTTTAAGAAGCAAAGGGTGTGGCCGACTATCTTATCCCTCGGCAGCCATTGAGATTGAACCGATAAGAAGGTCAAAGCCTAACACTGGGCCAAATAAAATTTAAAAAAAAAAAAAACGAACAGCAGGACACCGAATCTCAAACGAAGATGAGTTTATTCACAGGACGACGTCCTCATGTGAACAAACTCAGCTGCTGACAAAGCTTGGAGCTCCAGGGACATTCGGTGATGCGAGTTTCAACGAACTGCGTAGTGCCTGCTGAGGCATGAAGGTTCGCTGATAGTCAAGCGTTGCGCGCGACGAACCCTAGATTTTTTGGTTTTGTTTTGCATTGCGTGTGACCTCGATTGTTCATATATAGAGAGAGCACAAACTCGTGCATGCCGGCCACTTAGAGGGGCGGGTGTTGCACCACGTTTCGCTCTGTTCTGTGTCGGAGCTCAGACACCTACAGAGAAGCGTTTTGCCTTTTCTAGGGCCTCTTTTCCCACCGCATTATTGTAGTTCGGTGCAGCTAACTTTCGACGCGATCGCGAATAAAGTTATCTTCCCATGTTTTCACATCTTCGCGGTTAGCCTCGAACGTGTGACGGCATCAAGTGGCCCAGAGTGCGGCCACGGCGTAACACAGGGCACCGAGAGGCCTAAAAACTGAAACTGTGAAATTAGGACGAAAAAGGGTCGCAGATAAGCGAGTTTTTTTAAGGTTACAAGTTATTTGATAGTTCTTTTTAACAATTTTTATATGTTTCTTCAAGCTGAAACTAATATCGCGTAAGTGATATTCGACAATTCGATAAGGAGAGACCCTCGGTAAATTTCCAGCCTTCTACCCAATAGATTGATCTCACAAAGCGTTCTACGCATGCGTGACGCAACACTAACCACTCATTCGCACTGGAAGCGGATCTGCGTTCGCAAAGCGGTTGCGAACGCGGCTGTATAAAGATGCAGTACAATTGCACGCGCACTCGATGACATCGAGTGCGCGTGCAAGTGTATTGGATCTTTATACAACCGCGTTCGCAACCGCTTTGCGAACGCGGATCCGCTTTCAGTGTGAATGAGCGGTAAAGGGAGGCAGGCAGCAGTGCACGAGACACGGCTTGTGCAATTCTATGCCCTGCTCGCGCAGACTCGCAGTGAGGCAGTGAGTGGCACGACGTGCAGAAAAACTAAAACCGCGGTCCCACTCTAACTGTCCTGTCCTGTACTGTCTGCCGACACTGAGGCGCGTTTATTCCTTTGTGTGATCATAGCCTCCTCTAAACTCACAAAGCCTGGCAGTTCGACCACGGAGTCATAGAGTGCCCGGTCGCAGATTCGGAGCGCGAGGATCCGGTAGCACAGAGCATCAAAGAGCCATTTCTCAGGGAACCTGGAGATTAGCGCGCAGCTTTCGCAGCGGCGAGGACCCGAAACACACTTGTTCGCTCGGGAGAAGTGCGTTTCGGCGTCTCGCCGCAGCGGGGCGCAAGTTACGTGGCCCTCCTCTCATCCGTTGTCTGCCGCTCCACATTTTCCATTTCGACGGCCGCTTCTCGTGGCGATCCGCCAGGCTTTGTCAGTATAGAGGAGGCCATGGTATGACTGTCCTGCCACGTTGGTCGTACAAAAACGACAAGTTCCAATGAAGCAAACGAAGCTTCAAGATGCTTGAAACCTGACCGCATTTAAGTTTATCATCTTGTCTGCAGCCATCGCGTCTGCGGCCATCACGTCTTTGGTACGAGATATGAGAACTGCGGCTTAACTTTTCCTCTACGCATCGCGGTAGTGGCAGTGCACCCGAATCGACTGTTCGATCTATCGTTAAAGGAGGTTTCCCCAGGCTGTGTCTGTTGAGGTGACATCCTCGGCAGACCCACGTTCTTTTTGTGAGCACCCAGCACTGAAACAACAACAACAACGCTTTCCCGCGCATCTGCGTCGAGAACAGCGTGTCCCCGTGCACGTGGCATTACGCAGCACATCACGTTGAATCGAAATGAAGAGACTTTTTTTGTGATTTTCTCTTCATATAGCACGATCTTCATTTATTGCACAGGGAGGCTTTGTTGCTGTTCGTCGAAGCCCCGGACTCAACACCACCTGGAGGACATAAGGCCTGCTGACGTCATCGGTACTAGATTAACCGTTGCGCCTCTTAGCGGAGACTGGACAACGCTGATCCCAAGGGGCCAGCGACCCAAGTGCAGCCTTAGCTTTCTCCGCGGGTATGTAATGATATGAAACAAAAAGGTTTCTGTGGAGGTCCTTCTAGTGCGTTCTTTGTTGCGTCAGAGAAAGGGATTGATTTTATGCACGTTAAGGTGGGGTGTCATGATACATGTAGTGAACGAGGTAATCTCGACTATGAGCAATATCTTTAATGGCACTTGAAAGTTATAAGCGACTTCACTGACCACGCCGTTCTTGAGTAGAAGGCACTGCTGCAAGCAGATTAAATTTCAAATTTTCTGAGGTAATAATTATAGCTCTGGCTAACCATTTTGGATGGACCGCATAACGCGTTTGGTCGCTATCTGCTCTAAAAAAGTTATATAATATTTTCCTTCGGGAAATCAACGGAGGATCCTAAAGAATAAACACCAGATCTGAAAAACCTGAGCAATTCTTATGACGATGTTTTAGCGCTTCCCTTTACTCTGTAGATATATCTTGGTACTCAGCAGCTCAATGTTGTCTGTGTTTACTTTTCTGCGTCGTTTGTCACTTCGCGTGCAATACTGTACGAGCTGCGAGCACATAATTTTTTTATAATTTTTAGCTGAATACCTTTTAAAATTTCTCGATTAGTTTAGAGGCTATGCTACCGCTAACTCCAGCCGTGTGCACTTCGTCCATTTCAGGGTTTAAATGCACCTATATTATCAATAACTTTTAATCAAGCCCCATGGTAATCTATCGACTTTGGCTACAGTATTTGCAACGCGAAAAAATGTGTGATCTTCCCAACAAAAACTTTCTTTTTTTAATCTACACTAACGCGCCGGAAAGGTAAAACGGAGTTTGGCCAAGTTTGCGCCCTCTGTCGGGAGATGGCGCAACGACAATCCACTACCGATGACGTCATATGAGGCAAGAGAAGGTCAGGCACAGCGTCCCAGGTGGTGTCGTCGTCTGAACCCCGGGTTTGAAAGAAAAAAAAAAAAAGACTCTCTAAAAACCCCAGAGGTCCACGCGGTGGTTCGAAAACGCACAACGAGTAGCCGATCACAGCAGTCGAACTTCATCGCGAGGGTGGGTGGTGGTCGATGGTCGCGCTGCGGTGCCGGTCGGTGCAGAGAGAAGCAGCGACGCAGATCCGCCACGCGTGCCTGGTCGCACGGCATACACACACACACACCGGCACGCACAGACACCGCACACGCCGCCGCGCTGTAAGTTGTCCGCGGCCAACGGATCCCGTCGGTTTTGTCGGCCGGCCATCCGTAACCACAGGACTTGGTCGTCGAGCCTTCGACGTCGTTGGGCCGCCGAACACACGCTGAGATAGAGTTCGCTCTTTGTAGCTTTTTTTTTTGTCATATGTATTATTATTTTTTTTCGCAGTTATCTTACTTTTCTGTACAAGTCTCCAACTCCGCTCGGAGTCGAGCGGGAGTCGGAGAGCACCTTTGGAAAGCTGTGGTGTAGAGAGTGGAGGTGGACGTGAGGACAAGGAAGGGTCGGGGGCTGTCCTCAGGACATGATGTGCCGCGTCTCTGCGAGGGCGGCGATGATGCCGGCCGCGGGTCCACCACCGGGCTCCAGGTCGGAGCCCTGGGGAGCGTACACACCGTACGGCGTCTGCGTCACGTACTCGGCACCGCACGGGTCGGGACCGAGCGACTCGTAGGTGACGTGGTCGGACATCGCGTAACCACCGGGGGACGCCGCCGTGGCCGCGTCCAGGAACTGCGCGAGTTCGCTGTGGTCGATGAACGCGTCCTGGGGCGGCGGCGCGAACATGGGCTCGGCACCTCCGTAGTACGAGTCCTGCTCCTGCTGAACGGGGGCGTAGGGAGATGCCGCGCCGTACAGGCAGCCGGCCTGGTAGTACGCGGGCGGAGGTCCCTGATTCCTCTGGTAGCCGAAGGGCCCCAGGTGGGGAGGCGGTAGCTGGGGCATCCCCGTGTGCGCCCCCCGTTGCGTGTGGGAGCGGTACGGCGGCCGGACGTTCTTCAGGAACAGTGACTTGTCGTTGAACTTGCACATCAACTGGGACAGGTGACTCCCCGAGTCGTCCAGACCGCCGCCACCGCCACCGCCACCGCAGCAGTCTTCCGGTTCCATCGGTGAAAGCTCCGGTGTCGGGGGAATGGGGGACGGGTCGAAGCCCGTGGGGTCAGGGCCGGAGCCCGTCAGTCGGCTGCTGCAGTCCGGGCTGATGCCGCGTGCGGGACTCGAGTCTGGAGGTGTCTGGAGGCCTCCGTCCTCGGGGCTGCCCGGTTGGGACGGGCTGCCCCGCCGCGAGCCCCGCTTGGCGTGTTTCCGCCGCCTGGGTCGGTACTTGTAGTTGGGGTAGTCCTGCATGTGCTGCAGCCGGAGTCGCTCGGCTTCCTCGACGAATGGCCGACGCTCCTGGAGGGTCAGCGAGCGCCACTTCTTCCCTGCGGCACGGCAGAGAAAGAGACACGGCTCAGCTGGGATCAAACACCTTACCGACAAAAAAAAAAAAGTTATTAAGACAGTGTTTGTTTACTCGCTCAAACAGTAACGAAGAACATTACTCGTTACTAAGATTCAAAAAGTAAATTGTTACTTTAGTTTAAAAATAACTATACGCGTTTTATCATTAGGAAAAAGGTAAATTTTGCACGTTGTTCATACGCGGCGCGAAGTAGTTCTTACGAGATTGTTGTCGGAGGAAAACAAAAAAAGATGCTTTTGGCGCTTGGAACGTGTACGTGTTGATAAGATAACATATATCTGATCTCAAATTCACCCACATATATCTTAATTATCTACATAAAGGGGGAAATGTGTAAAGCTCCGCGAATAGCCGGACTTTTGTTTTTTACTACGATTCTTGAGGAGAAGAATGGTATAGTTACTTTCTCGTGTGGACGCGTCGTTTTCCTGAAGCAGTAGCCACTTTCCAGTATTTTGTGTCATTACTAACTCCTAGCTTTTAACGCATTCACTGCAGCAACGTTTTTCATTCTCCTCCTGGCCATTCTTTTTGCAGTGAAAGTCACAGGCGCAAACCGGGGTGAATTCCAACCAGGAGAACCTGTGTTCTGCACGTTCATCGCCAGATGTTATTACATATCTTTGCTCGTTGCTCCATCAAAACTTAACGAAATTACCTTACTCATTCACTCGCTTGAGAAGTGACCAAGTCGTTTAGCGTTACAGAAAAAAAGTAAACAGAAGTAACGCGTTAATGGTAACGCGTTTCGTACAAGTCAGGGTGGGTTTTACCAATAGGGAATAAAATGCCCGTTTACAGTTTGGTGTTCGCTGCGCAAGATTCAGCACTGCTTGAACTACAATTTCTTGCTTTTTAATTTTTTTTTTCTAACGGTACACTATTGAGATCTGTAGTTCCTGGTTTCGTGGTGTTCTATTAGCGGCGAGATGTTTCAGTGGCGCCCTCGTTCGGCTACCTTTCGTGACGTCATTACCTTGTGAACAACAAGCTCGATGGTATTTGTAATGAGCACTCTGGAAGCCTGAAATCATAGCGGTCTCAAAGCAACACTGCCAACACTGTCAAAATTGAAGTTCTTACATTCCTCTTATTTCCGTCAATGAGAGATGCTTTGCTGACGTCATAGTCAGCATTCGGCCAATTGTGGTGGGCCGACCACAGCGACACTTTCGATCGCCCGCGTCGCCAATACTACGTTTCCCTTTAAGTGTCAGCGCAGCCGATACTACATGCTCGAGTTGCTGGCTTCAGCGTCCCTGCCAAGCACGCGCGCTCGTGCAGTGCAAGCACTGCTCAGGGTCGAATTCTCGCGCTTGTGGCATCGGCTGCGTCTGGACCTAAGGTGACACGAAGTATAAGCACTGTAGCTGATGAGGAAGGTATACGGACGGAATAGAGGACATTAGACCAGCCCCGGTCGTCATCTGGTCAAGCGTCTGTGCTTGCCAGCCAAGGCGATGCAACAGGGACATTGTGGAAAAGATACAAATCTCAAGAAAGTTTGTGGACAGAATTCGCGGGGTGATCAGCGTAGAACGTCCACACAAAGACAGTTTAATGGGTGCTTCTAAACCGCGGTAATGGAGGGGATACAGGCGAAGATTACATGTCTTCATATAATATCTCGAAGGAAAAAGAGAATAAACTGCTTATGTTTCGAACAACAATCTCCATGTTGTAGATACGCTCTAAAGCAAACGCCCGTGGTTTCTACTTCCCGTATAGCACTCGCGTAGTAACGCACTTTGCTATACGGAGGGAGCTCAGGGAGTCAGGGGCTCAGGGGCTCAGGGGCTCAGGGGCTCAGGACTACTTTTCACAGATCGTACGCAACGCGGAGCTCAAGTTCGTCTGCTACTATCACTAGGGTTGCGATGATGTCAGAACGCCGAGCTCTTATTGACTAATTGAAGAGAAATAGTGTGTAGACCACAAGGCATCTAGCATTGAGGTCTCTATCCTTTCAATCAAAGCCAACCAGAGCTCAACGTCGTTCTAACGGGGCCGGCAATCCGCAGCGTACCATCTACAGGAAGTCCCTAGTGAGTAAACACATACTCCTTGTCACTAGTTGGGTGCAGTGCAGGCGAAGGCAACGCCCGGCGAAGAGAGAGAGGGTGAGCACAAGGAAGGCAGGACGGAAGAGGAGGACAATGGAAGGCGAGGGGAGAAAGAGAGGGCACTAGGAACGTTAAAGAACAAAGGAGGTTTCTCTCGTGGTCCCCAGACTTTCTAGTGTTTGCCCTTTCTCCCTCGCCTGGCGTTGCCTTCGCCTGTACTGCAAGCAACTAGTGACACGGAGTATAGAAAGGGGTTTCGACTTCAACATTAAATCTGCGATGTGAAATATGAGCGGCACGTGAACATGTGAAATACTATTCTCGGTGTCATATTTGCAAACTGAACTTTGTCTTGAAACGTTTCCCCGGCATTGGCTTCCCACCTACTCCATCAGAAAGTAAAGCGCGCGCGAAGGTTTAACAGTGCGTTTTATAGAGATACTAATGGAACAGTGATTCATAAATAGTTATAAGCACTGTAGATTAAAAAAAAAAAAATTGGTAGACTGCAGGTGACCATTTTCTAAATTAGACCGAGACCGGAAAAAAAAAAAGAAAAAAAAAGATGGATGATGTTTAAAAGCCAGATTTGTTTGCTCCATGTTTGAGACGTCTATTTTCTTTTTCTTTTTATACATATCTTTAGAAGCTCGAAGGTGACCCCCCCCCCCCCCCCACACACACACACACACACACACACACTTCTCCCACCTCCCTGAGCATCAGTTTATAAAACGGTTATAAAGGCTCAAATAAACTTTAAACCAACTTTTTTTTTTTTTGCAAAAAAAAGAAAGAAGAGGGTTTCTTGAGGTGAGAAATAGATTCAACCCGAAATGGGTGTAACCGCACGGACACCGTGCGATGTAACCTTTATCCCAGATCATGTTGCTGAGGAAGTAGCTATTCAAATAGTGCGTCACGTTATGAAGAAATGACTCCCGTTCTCAGATACCTCAGATTTTTTTTTTTATTATTTAAGTAAATGTTTTTTTTTTTTTGTTCTGTTTCTTGGGGGGGAAGGGGGAGATTTATTGGCTTCTTCTTTGTGTGCGTGTCTTTTTTTTCTTTGAATTGTAACTTTTTTTCATTTTTTTTAGGGGGGGGGGGGGGGGGGGATTGGGAAACAAAAGATTTTCGAACCGACGTTTCAAAACATACTAGTTTATGAAAGATCTGATCGAGCAAGTGAAAATCCTCGGAGTTGAATACCGTCAGGTTGTTCACCGATTAAATGTCGAAGCAGTGCATTTGTAATATAGCACAACGAGGCAGAATTCGGACATGCAGTCGCTCCCATGAATCGCGGGAGACCGATATTGTAACCAGAATATCTCGTAATCGACTGACTGACTGAACGCCTTACTGGTCTATTCATCGAAGCCAACATGATTTGTTCGTTCATTGAGTCAATCATTTATTCATTGAGTGAATTCATTGATTCATTATTTGAGCCGTTCATTTTGAGTGCATTCAATAAAAAGACGGCACAAGCAGCAGTAATGAAAACGCTACAAATACATTATGAGAATTACAAGTGTATATATTATTACAAAATAGAATGTAAGCAAACAAGGTTTACCGATAAACACGAAGGTTAATACGACAGAGCTCTATGTAAACTATTTAGAATAAATTCTCGGGTTTGTGCCCCACTGAAAAGGCAATATGAATTATTCGTCAAACAAACGTACTTGAACACATACCATGGTATACAAAAGTATAGACTATTACAAATGGCGTACATAATTTTTTTAATATATAAAATAACTTTTACTATTCCCTAAATGTTAAGTTTGCTTGCCGAAAATAGCAGGGGTTAAGCCAACAAATATTTAAAATTATTTAGAAACGGCACAACAAATAAAATTGCGATCTAAGGCTCATCACACGCTTCAACGTTTCGTAGCAAGTAGCTCGCTTTCTTCACATGATTTCGCCTCAAATATTTCGAATATTAAAAATAATAAAAAAGGTTCTTCGGCTGTTGTTTTCGAGTTGATCACGTTCGAGACATGGGCGAATGCTTTTATCAGAAAATCTCACGACGTCGTGCGACCAAGAGCCGTTGCCCCAGTTCCTTGAGTATGGGTAAACCAAGCACAGACACGTACACAGTACTCAAATAAAGTGTAAAGAAGTTCCGTTACTCCTTATTCACTCAAAAAGTGTGCAAGTACAACGTTACTCTTTGGTATACGATTAAAAGGGAACCCGTCGACTCCGCTCGAATGTAACGCGTTATTTCTCTCGTTACTCGGAATGTGTCGTTTCTGTGAAGCGGTAACCGCTCGCGTTGTTTAGCGACGTTAATAATTGCCGCTTTTTACCGCGTTCATTCGGGGGCAACTGCGGCTATACTCACATACGTCATATACATTGTGCCCATCTCTTTATGGTCCATCTAGCGTTTTCCCAGTATGCAAATAGACCCCTTCTGAAAGTCACGTGCCATTTATTATAAGGTCGGAATCCACTGTACAATGGCGGAACAACTGACATCGTGGAAAGTGCAAGTCATTCTATAAGATAGCGACGTAAGAGCGCGGTCAACTAGGAGCCGACGATCTCAATAACAGAGAAAGCCCAGTGACCAGTGCTTTTGACGTTGCTTCATTGGTCCCATTGCAGCGTAGCGTCGGCATGCGTCTGGAGTTAAGCTGAAACGAAGAGTATAGTATATCAAGCAGGACTCGACAGCGCTCCGAGACCTCCTTCGACGGCGAGCTCGAACGTGCATGCAAAGGCGTTCGGATTACCAAGGAGAATCAGCCGACCAAGAAGAAGAAGACGGTCCCACGACATCCGGACGGGTGTCTCATGGACCTGGACACCGACGTCCGACGCGTCGTCGTGTTTCGCCGCCGCCTCAAGCGACGACAGCGACGACGATCAC